AATTGATGACATAAAGGATAGATTCTATGAAGAACTAGAGCATGTATTTGATAAATTCCCGAAGTACCCTATGAAAATTTTGTTAACAGATTTCAATGCCAAAGTAGGGAGGGAAGACATTTTCAAACCAACAATTGGGAATGAGAGTTTGCATGAAATTAGTAATGATAATGGAGTTAGAGTAGTAACTATTTTGAATTGTTTCATTTTTGGTACACAACACACAGCACATAAGAAACATTGAACCATAAGCCATACATTCAAGCTGACGTCTCCCATCTTTGGGATGAACTAACAAGGAGGAATTCAGCATTTTAGATTAAACATTTTAACATTTAGCGTTTTAACTTAAAACAGTTTCGGATGAAAAGTGAGAACTTGATAGTGTACTCAACTATCTTAGTAAGTTTTGTGCTTTTACACGTCAGCATATTGTAGCAGCGTCTACACGACAAACATAACTGTGAACATCATAAACAACGACAGTGTTTCCATAGTTATAGGAAGTGCCTCTGATGATGGTTGTATCAAACTGAAACATGTAAGGCAGAAGTGATATTAAAAAAGTGACCTACAAATTGTTACACTCGACAGACTCTCCACTAACTCTGTTAGAGTAGTAAATTTTGCCGCATCAAAAAATCTTACTGTCAAAAGTACAATTTTCGCACATTGTAACATCCATAAAGTTACTTGGACATCTCCTGAGCAAACAAACAACACACAGAGTTAATATGGAGAGGTTCAATCTCAAGAAATTAAATGAGGTAGATGGTAAAGAGCAGTATTGTGTTGAAATCTCAAATAGGTTCACAGCTTTGGAAAACTTGGAAACTGAGGTGGATGTTAATAAAGCTTGGGAACTATTAGAGAGAATATAAAAATGTCTGCCAAAGAGAGTCTAGGTTATTATGAACCGAAGAAGCATAAGCCATGGTTCGATGAAGGATGCTCAAAATTATTAGATCAAAGAAAGCAGGCCAAATTGCAATGGTTACAGGATCCAAGCGAGTTAAATGGGGATAATCTGAACAATATAAGACGTGAAACCAGCAGGCATTTCAGGAAATAAAAGAGGGAATATCTGAAAGACAAAATTGATGAGCTTGCAATGAACAGTAAGAACAAGAACATTAGAGACCTGTATAGAGGAATAAATGACTTTAAGAGGGGTTACCAGCCTAGCAGTAACTTAGTGAAGGATGAGAATGGTGATCTGCTTGCAGATTCCCACAACATTTTGAATAGGTGGAGGAACTACTTCTCTCAGTTATTGAATGTACATAGGGTCAGTGATGTTAGGCAGACAGAAATCCATACAGCTGAGCCGTTAGTACCTGATCCTAGCCCTTTTGAGGTTGAAAGTGCTATTGCAAAATTGAAACGGTATAAATCGCCAGGTAGTGATCAAATTCCGGCAGAACTTATTCAAGCAGGAGGCGAAATATTACGTTCTAAGATCCACAATCTAATTACTTCTATTTGGCATAAGGAAAAATTGCCTGATCAGTGGAAGGAGTCTATTATTGTACCAGTTCACAAGAAGGGTGATAAAACTGACTGTAGTAATTATCGGGGGATATCACTGCTATCAACTTCATATAAAATTTTGTCCAATATTCTTCTCTCAAGGTTAAGTCCATATATAGATGAAATTATTGGGGATCATCAGTGTGGGTTTCGACATAACAGATCAACTACAGATCAGATCTTTTGCATTTGTCAGATATTGGAGAAAAAATGGGAGTACGGTGAGACAGTACATCAGCTATTCATAGACTTCAAGAAAGCCTATGATTCATTTAGGAGGGAAGTATTGTACAGTATTCTGATAGAGTTTGGGGTACCCGTGAAACTAGTTAGGCTGATTAAAATGTGTTTAAACGAAACATATAGTAAAGTCCGTGTAGGTAAACATTTGTCTGATAAATTTCCTATTCAGAATGGTCTATAACAAGGAGATGCTTTATCGCCACTCCTTTTCAACTTTGCTTTAGAATATGCAGTTAGGAAGTTCCAGGGAAACCATGTGGGACTGAAAATAAATGGGACACATCAGCTGTTGGCCTATGCCAATGATGTGAATCTACTGGGTGATAATGTAGATACCATAGAGAAAAACACACAAACTTCAATTGACGCAAGTAAAGAGGTTGGTCAAGAAGTAAACACAGAGAAAACTAAGTATATGTTGCTGTCTCGTCGCCAAAATGCAGGGCAAAATTATGACATAAAGATAGGAAACAGATGTTTTGAAAATGTGGCACAGTTCAGATATTTTGGAACAACGATAACAGATCAAAACCTGATTCAGGAGGAAATTAAGAGGAGATTGAACTCTGGTATTGCTTGCTACCATTCAGTCCAGAACCTTTTGTCTTCACGTCTGCTGTCCAAAAACATAAAAATTAGAATATACAAAACTATAATTTTGCCTGTGGTTCTGTATGGGTGTGAAACTTGGTCTCTGACATTAAGGGAGGAACATAGACTGGGGGTGTTGAGGAGTTTATTTGGACCAAAGAGAGATAAAGTGGCAGGAGGTTGGAGAAAACTGCATAACGAGGAGCTTCATAACTTGTACTCTTCTCTAAGTATAAGTAAAACGATCAAGTCAAGGAGGATGAGGTGGACAGGGCATGTAACACGAATGGGGGAGGCAAGGAATGCGTATAAGATATTGGTGGGAAAGCCAGAAGGAAAGAAACCACTGGGAAAATCAAGGTGCAGGTATGTGAACAATATTAAAATGGATCTTAGAGAAATAGGATGGGATGGTATGGATTGGATTGATCTGGCTCAGGACAGGAACCAGTGGAGGGCTCTTGTGAACACGGTAATGAACCTTCGGGTTCCATAAAATTCTGGGAAATTCTTGAGTAGCTGAAGAATTGGCAGCTCCTCCAGAAGGGCTCAGCTCCATGAGCAAGTAAGTAAGTAAGTAAGTCTGAAAAGGTCAGGAAACACACAGTTTTGGATGGCAGAAGATTCAGATACCAGAAGTTAATTGTACAGGACTGCATGTATAGGCAGATGTATACAACAGTCAGCAGTAGTTACTTTCACTGGAGCCCATGTCCTGAGCTGTGCCAGTGGTGTCACCCTGGCCACAGTGGTTAAGTGCAAAAGCCAGTCTTTCTTGAACAAGGCCATTAGGGCATTACTGCCTTATGTGTTTGTGCTTCTCACTTATGAGCTGCTTCTAGATGGGGTATATTGTTAGAATACATTACAGATACATAGAATAACAGAGACACAATGCACCAGTGTGTTGTATTCTTGTTCACAGGGCTGTTTACAAGCAAGCCGAGATATATTTACTTGATGACCCACTGTCTGCAGTAGATGCCCACGTGGGGCGCCATCTGTTTAACGACTGCATCTGTGACTTCCTTCAGGGCAAAACTCGACTTCTGGTCACGCACCAGCTGCAGTACCTGCAGGCAGCAGACAACATTGTGATCCTTAATAATGTTAGTAGCTGCAGATTTGTATGATCTGTTCTTACATTTGGATATTCCTATCTTCAGTGACACAGGAGTGCATGCAAACTAGCAGCGCTTGTGTATGGCCTAGGGCCTACACTCTACGCCATTGTAAGAATGACGTGCACCACCATCTGCTGCCATACTCTGCACCAATTTTACTTTTTGTCATGTTCTACCAAATTTTTGCCACATAGGCTTCATATTTGGGAAGCCCTGGGTTAAACTCTCAGTCCAGCTATCAGGCATGTTGACTGAGAGATTGTTTGTGGTTTTCATTGGTGCATCTAGGTAAATGTCAGAACAGTATCTTGAACCAGGCCGCTTTCATTTCCTTTCATATTCTTTCCAGTTCATTAGTCATACTTTTTTTGAGTTGCTTCCAGTAACTGGACGGTAGAGTGTCAAATGGTGACATGATAGATGAATAACAAATTGAAAGTATTTGGAAGGATACAGTCATGGCCTAATTTGCTTTCAGGGATTGAGGAAAACCACACATAACCTCAGTTAGGATAGCTGGTGTCCTGGCAAGATTCACTCAGAATGCCTTCTGAGTATGAATTCAGAATGTTACCACTGAGTAAATTGTGTTGATGTAGGCATATAGTCTGGGCTCTTGATAGCATCGCTGTATAAACTGTGCTAATTGCCTACCACTGCTGTTATACTAAAGAGATCTGCTGTATCTAAATGTTTGTTTCCATTTACAAATTGTGTCTGTTGGGTTTTAGGGTATGGTAGAAGCAACAGGCGCATACAATGAGCTGCATGTCTCAGGGCTCAGTTTTGCCAAGCAGCTTGATCTGGAGGTGAACACCAAAGACAGTGAGCACCATTCTCTCAGACACAGTGACTCAGAACTTTCACTCCGCAAGACAAAGCATCAGAATTCACAAACATCTGAACATGTAAGCCCCTGTATAGCTTAACAGACTGTGGATGAGCTGTGTTGTTTAGTGGAGTTCTGTGATCAGCCATAGATTGACGTACTATAATGTTTCATATAATTCTGTGGTCAGCTGTAGGTGGACAGGTCATGTTGTTTAAGGTAGTTCTGTGGTCAATCATAGGTAGCTGGGTTATGTTTAATGTAGTTCTGTGATCAGCCATAGGTTGATGGACTACATTGTTTCGTGTAGTTCCATGGTTGGTCAGCTGTAGGTGGTTGGGCTTTGTTGTTTAACTTTTGAAATGGTGGTAGCTTGAGCTGGTCAGAGTTTATTTAAATGCCTGCTGTTGCTGCACTTTTAAACACCTGCTGCTGCTGCTGCTGCTCCACGTTTTGACGTCTGTTCCTGCTAGGGCTCTTACATTGTATTTAGAAATGATGTATCTAATACAATTTTTATGATAAATGACTGGAGTTAACTTTGTTTTAATCAGCAAAGTACATAGTGTCACATATTGTAATGTAAGTTTTGAAAATGTTTGAACAAAAAAGTTATGCTCTATTTTCAGTATGTTCTTGTAATTTTGATTCCTACTGTAAAAATTGTTTCCCGCTTCTTCACAGAGTAGTTCTGCATTATAAACTCATTTCTGCTTTTAACACGTGAAATAGTTTCACATTCTCTGGTGCCATAAAACATTTGGAAGCAATAAAATCATTTGGCAAGTTTCACATCTTTGTTACTCTCTTCAGAGCTTCAAGTCTTTTCACTAAAGGACAGAAAAGTGAAAGCATGGCAATTCAAGAAAGGCAAGAGGGAAAATTCTTTATTCCCTACTTCAGTGCCAAGCCCTGCCATTGCAGCTACAAGAGAATATTGGCCTTTCTGTGGTTACAAGCAAACACCTGCATCATAACTGAGATAGAGAGTGCATTCTGTTTTCTGTGAGTTCATAGTGAATTCAAATATTGTAGTTTCATTTCATCATAAAATGGCAATGAAATATTGAGGTTAAGGTAGTTCTGTGGTCAACCATAGGTAGCTGGGTTATGCTGTTTAATGTAGTTCTGTGGTCAGCCATACATAGCTGGGCTATATTTTTTCACGTACTTCCATGGGGAACAGTAGGTGGATGAGCTTTGTTGTTTGAGGTAGTTCTGTGGTCAACCATAGGTAGCTGTGTTATGCTGTTTATTGTAACTGGGCTATATTGTTTCATATAGTTCCGTTGTCAGCTGTAGGTGGATGGGCTTTGTTGTTTAAGGTAGTTTTGTTATCAGCTGTAGGTGGATGGGCTTTGTTTCTTAAGGTAGTCCTGTGATCAGCCATAGGTAGCTGTGTTATGCTGTTTAATGTAGTTCTGTGATCAGTCATATGTAGCTGGGATATATTGTTTCATATAGTTCTGTTGTCAGCTGTAGGTGGATGGGCTTTGTTATTTAAGGTGGTCAGCTGTAGGTGGACGGGCTCTGTTGTTTAATGCTTTTCCTTTACCATCTTTCTCTTTCTCTATGTGTTTTCAAGAATTGCATAATACAGGGTGGGGCACAGAAACTTCCTTTTTTTGAAGGTGAATAAAAGAAAAATTATTGCTGATAGACAAAATTTATGTTAGCTAATGAAAGAACATACTTCAAAGTTTTAAACAAAATATCTTGAAGGTGGTGGCCACCGTTCTCTATGCACTGATGCAACCGTTTTCTGAAGTTCTCCTCTGCACGTTCCAACATGTGCACCAGAATTTGGGCTACTTCCTGCCAAATAACATTCTTCAGCTGAAGCAGGTTTGTGGGGCGATTTTTAAAAACCTCTGCCTTGAGGTATCCCCATAAAAAAAAATCACAGGGCGTTACATCAGGTGAGTGTGCCGCCCAAGGGATGTCACCTCAAAGCGAGATGAGCCATCCGGGGAACTCTGCCCTAAAAACTGTCATCGAAGCTCAGGCTGTGTGGGCCTTGGCACCATCCTGTTGGAACCAGACATTTCCTAGATGCATTTCTTCAAGAGCTGGTTCAAAAAAGTTTTTTATCATGTCCACATATCACTGTGAATTGACAGTAACTGCATGATTGTCTTCTTCAAAAAAATAAGGGCCAATAACGCCAACTCCTGACAACGCGCACCATACTGTTACCTTATCACTATGAAGTGGCCTCTCATGGAGCTCTGTGGGATTGTTACCTCTCCAATAGTGCATATTCTGCTTGTTGACATATCCGGATAGGTGGTAATGTGCCTCATCACTAAAGAAAACAAGTGCATCAGGGGGTAAAGTTTCCAATAAAGTTTCGCACGCCGTTATTCGGTTCTGGAAATCTCGTGGTGACAATTCTTGCACAATAACCATCTTATAGGGATGGAAATTAAGATGTTCGTGAAGAATTCCGGCATTGAACGATCAGATATGTCTAGGGCGACTGCATGTTTGCGAGCGGAGCGTCTTGGAGATCTCAAAATCGACTGTTGAACTGCCTCCACATTTTCTAGCATCATAACAGTCCGTTGTCATCCTGATGATTTTTTCACCACACTCCCGGTTGTCCTAAAGTTCTTTACCCACAAAACAATCGATTTCCGGTCAGGAACCGGACCTCTGGGCTTAATTTCGAAGTGATTACAGAACGCACGCTGCACCGCCACATAGGAATGGTTGTTCAAAAGATAGGCTTTGACAGCAGATGCATGCTGCACACTTGTCCACCTCATGTTTCCTACTAAGGGGTATTAGACAGAAACTTCCGCGACTGCTGCGTTCGCCGAGTCTATCCCCACTTTTCTGCAACCTCCCCTCCCTTTACAATGCTTCTTCACAGAAAGGAAGTTTCTGCGCCTCACCCTGTAGTTCAGCTTGGAGTGGAATATGTGTATAGTGCAAGGTATATTTTCTCCCTTTCTTTATCCACTTCTGAGTGTTCTGAACGAAATTGTGCGTTCAGGATGAATATGCTTAAAGTTCCCAGTCCCCACAGGGAGAGCTAGTGCAGCGCATATGGTCACCAGTGTATTAACACTGTTGTGTCTGCCACTGCTTACATATGTGAATGTGGAGAACATGAAGTTCTGAGTGTGGCTTAGAGTTAATGTTAAATTGCAGATTCCCTCCCTGTCATGGTTGTCCAGCAACAGGAATAGTGGACCTCACTTTGTGAAGTTGACACGCATTAAATGATCTTCAGCTGTTCATCACTTTGTCCATCTCTTTCTAGATTCTCCGCTACTCATCAGTGTAATCCAGCTCCTCAGAGCTCAGTACACAAGTGTTTCAGAGTTCTGTTTCCAAATTGAGTAACATTCCTTTTCTGGAGGATTCAGTAGTTTTCCTCAATCCCTGCACTACCTCAAGTATGCAATCACCTCGTCCTTCCAAATCCTTTATGCTTCATCCTTCACCAGTCATCCTTTACCATTAAATTTTGTATGGTCTCAGTACTGACAGTGTTTTAGAAATAAGCCACAAAAAGCAAATACACAGCCTCATAACCAAGAAGACTGTAATGTGAATCTGTCCATTTTCTCATTCTTCTAGGTTTATAGTCCATTGAGTGTTTCAGGATATGTTGTGGTTCCAGTCTTTCAGACTCTCTCTGTTAGGTGTGCTCTTGTGAATTCTGCATTTATATACATTTTGAAACAGTACTGTCTTGTGGGATGTGATTGCATGTGATCTGTAGAAGTTCACTGCTGCTTGAGAGGTGTAAGAAGAGCCCAGTCACCAGTGTGAGAACCTCATAACCAACATGACTGTATTTTTTTTATTGCTAGTGAGGTGGGACTAAGTCCCTTGTACTGTGGCCACTTCTGGCCTATTGTACCAGCCCCAGATGATAGGTGAGGGTGATTGTGGAGCAGTTGGTGGAATGAAGATTGGCAGGGGAAACCGAAGTACTCGGAGAAAAGTTGCCCCAGCGCCACTTTGTCCACCACAAATCCCACTTGACCAGACCCGGGATCGAACCCAGGCCGCCGCGTTGAGAAGCCAGCAACTAACTGCATGAGCAATGGCGCGGCCTATGACTGTATTTACTGTGTTTCTGATTTCATCTTTAATGTGGAGAGCAGCCCAAAATTCAGTTAACCTAAAATATTCTGTCATGTTAACAGGAATGTTTACAATTAAACCTACCAGGTGATTTGTGAAATGGTGTCACAGCATTGCAAGTTGTGAATTGAGCATGGAGGAACTCATTTGGAAGAATTTTTGTCAATTCAATAAGTAATTTTAGGGTACATGTAACCAACCAGTTAACTGATTTCTGGGCCGTGCTGTATAGTATGTGTTTCTTTCCCCTGCCATTTTTATTCAGTACTCTTCATATTGAGAAATAAACATGGCAGTGAAACATTATGCTTTACAGAGTTCAGTGGAGGAGTCTGAGCCCAAGCAGATAGCTGAGATGCGGACGAGAGGCAGAGTTAGGTCTGGCGTGTACCGTGCATACTGCGCTGCAGGAGGGAACTGCCTCATCACATTCATCGTGCTGTCTGTGTTCATCCTGGCACAACTTGCGGTCAGTGTGGGTGACTACTGGATGTCATTCTGGTATGTCTGTCTCGTTCACTTGCACTGGCTTTGCTATGTTGAGCACAAGACTTCTTTCTGTTCTTCGTAAATGGGCACTCTAAGGTTCTTGTTACCTTCATGCTGTTACATTCATTGGATTTATATTTTATACAAGGCATGTGCAAGAATGACTTTTTCAGTTCAATAGTAGAATTTGGAAGCTTTCTCAGAATCAAGGCGAGACCAAGACGTTTCTCCACTCAGCCAGTTTGTTTTCACTGTACTCAAAATTTATAACACTATCTGTTTTTGCACAATGCACTACAGTGTCCTACTTAAGGCTTTTGATGTTGGAGACTTTTCAGTGAAGCATTTTCATAAAGCATATTATTTAAAAGAATTCAGTTATAGGACCGGACCATGTTCTTCTTCACCATGGGTAGAAGGGGAGGGAGACATTTAGTTAACAAGTTGATTCATGCTGGTGTTACCAACCATTACAGTTGTGATGGATCAGGTAATTCATTTGCTGTTGCACAAAACAGAGCTATCTCAAAGTTCTAGCAATCCGAGGCCAAAAAAAATCAGTGCTCAAATTCAGTCTAAAAAATTTGAGATTTGAACAAACCTCTTTGATACAAGTTCTGCACATGTTTATATAGAATCAGCTTTGCCAAATTTTATGTTGTAAGTACAGTTGGACTTCAGCTGTTGGCTTCAAATGGAGAAATACTGGTCTAATTCTAAGAGTGACTGTGTTCTTATTCCTGTTCCATTTTCCAAAGGATGCCCATAACATAAATTGTATATTTTCCAAATACATTGCATTTTCAAGGCATTGCTTCCAGTGAATATATGGTTTACAGTTAGGCCTCTCACCACAGAAGGAGAGAGGTGTTTGGGTGCTCTCAGATATCACTCACCTGTCATATAAATAGCTCACTGTGTGTATCATTACATAACATTTCAGTACCTTATATTAAGTGATGTTCGCGTTGGTCATCCATAAAAGATTTGTATAATTCACATGTGTAAATCATTGCAGTTAAGTATTTAAAAGAATGCCATCTCTGGTAGGATAATGTTTCTACTGATTTTCTTGCATCTGGGCCAATTGATTCAAGAGATACTGGAGGTAAAAACGCAGCTTACACTGCCCACTGACATTTGCTTTTGGAAATCAGCAAGAAAATATCTGAAGTTATCAGGTAACATGTGAGAGACCTCAACAGATAATTCTGTGGCTCTCTCTTACCTGTCACTCATGGAATGTTGAGATAGCCATAGCAGTAATGTTCTAGACTTGTATTTGAGAGGTGCTGGGTTCGAATCTAAGTTGGGACGCAAGCTATCATGACTGAATCTTTTTGTGGTTGCCTTCAGTCCCTCCAAGAAAATTCAGGGATGGTAGTTTGAATAGCGCCTGACTGCTTCCTTCCAAATCCTTTCTAATTTGTTATTCATCAGTCATTCTGCTATTCAGTATTATGTAGTTTTGATACTGAAACGATCGTAAAGTTAATGCACAACCCAATGTGAGTTTTGAAGGACATGATGTACAGAAGCCCAGAAAATCTGAATACACTACTGACATATTCAGTTAAATTGTTACTCAGCTGACCACAGGCCTTCAGTTTCACTGGCATCTTTTATGCAGGCTTGCCACCCCTGTCAGTGCCTTGTGGAGCTAGATGATAATAGGTCACAGTGTGAGACACTTCGGGTGCATACGTCTGTGGCAGGTCCGTGTTGATGTGGACGCCTGATCACATTGTGATGTAAGGGACTAGGTGCTCACTTAGTGAATGTGATGTAAATAAGCCTGTAGATTCAGTTGTGTATTGCTTCTTAAAGTCATTTTGAAATGTTCTTGATAGGACCAATGTAGAAGAACGGCGATCTTTGGTCAGTAATAGAATTGCCTCCAGCATAGATGGTGCTGCCATTAATGATACCACTACGCAGTTAACAGAAATGGATGTCACTACAACAGATACTAGTGAGTGGAAACTGGGGGTTAGTACCACCATTGCACCAACAGATGTCACCGAGTGGAGCTGGATGCCCAGCACAGAGACTTGCATTCTTGTATATGTGGGACTTGTGATTGGCATTGTTGTGCTTACCTTGGCGAGTGCATTTTTCTTCTTCTCAATGTGCATGAGAGCTTCAATCAATCTCCACAACTCAATGTTCAGCAGTATCTCACGAGCTACAATGTGGTTCTTCAATAACAATCCTTCAGGTAACTCAACATTCCCGTTCTTATACAGAGGCATTTGTTGCTTAGTGCAAGTTCTTCTTACCTTTGTTGCTCTCCCATTTGTCAGATGTAAATGGGAAAACTTCTGAGACAAATTCTGCCACTTCCAGTGACAGTACTGCTGTCAGAATGATGGGCAGCAGAGGGAGCATAACATCTTATCTTTTAAATTCAGCATTTGTATCTTAATTATGGAGGAAGCTGTCACTGATATGATAGTTAAGTTTATTGTAGGCTTTGGTATTATGACCATCACCAGTGGTTAGGTTTCATTTGCAAACAAGAAAACCTGTACCCAGATTTAATCAAGGTTCAGACCTCTGACTTCACTGAAGAAGGCAAGCAAGTTCGCTTCAGGAAGAAGCCAAAATATGTAGATCCAATTAATTGGCATTGCATGAAATAGTGTTGTTCTTGTAAGGAGAGAATCTAGCCTCATAGGAAGAGATATGTACCCAAAATATTGCCTGCCAAATTAACGGATTGTATAGTAATGTCTAATTCTGTTAAAAGTGTGATCTTATGGGTTGTGACACCAGGCAGATATCAACATATGAGAGGAACATGCATCCATCTTCAGGGTTGAAGTATGTAGTGTGAGGAATTGGCTTCGGTATACTCATATAGGGACCCAAGGAGAGGGGGCAAGAGAAGAACCCAGTCTGATAAAGCCAGAGGGGAAAAAAATGAAGTAAAAGCTGCCCTTATAAGGGGCATGGTTTATTATCACAGATGGCAAGTGGAACAGTGAGCAAATGTCTGTTTCCTCCACTCTGCTGTTCTCTCAGGACAGTAGTGGTGTGAAAAATGGACAAAACTGCCATTTTCAGAGCCAGTCTTTCTCACAGAAGGAAATTTGAACTAAGAATGGGGAAATTCTGTTGTTACAGGCCAACCCCCTTGGAACTTGCCTGCATAATCAAGATTACTCCTGCATGTACACATTTCAACCTTGAAGATGAAGGCAGCATGTCCTTTCCACACTATCGGTATCCAGTCACAAAACTATGAGATATCTCAACCCAAAAGACCACAGTCTTAAAAATCATCACTGTGATAACCTCAAATTTATTACGTTGCTTATAATGAGGAAGGTCGCAGGTTCAATTCCTGATGAGGTCATTGTATTTTTCAGTTGACCTAAACCTTTCAGCCACACTGTGGTCCTGGGGTCGACTCAGCCTATGACAGAAACGAGTACCAGGAATCTTCCTGAGGTAAAGGTTGACCAGTGCACAAGGTTGACAACCTCACCGCTGTGAGTCTGATGTCTAGAAAATGTGGGACCCTCAATGGCTCACAACCCTGTGGGCCTCCATTGCCTGTTACAGGGATAGTTTTACTTTTTTACTTTAATAACCTTTTTACTGATCCATATTTAAAGTGTATTTCCCAATTGCAATCTCACTCTTGTCATTACATTGCAGGTCAAATACTGAATCGCTTCACCAAGGATATGGGAGCAATTGATGAAACGTTGCCCGGGACAATGATGGACTGTGTGCAGGTAGCCATTCTGACATCTCTTCATGACACTGAGTTTGTTCACTGCACAGGGTGGAACTTCATTAGTATGATTTTCGTGAGAACAAGCCTACAAATATATGACAGAAATGTATAACCAAATGTTGTGAAGTGGGTATCACTACTGCTTCATATTCAGAATGCCCCTGCCTCAAATCTTGGCCAGTCACTAGCTCTCATGACTGAAGTTTCATGATTTTTCCTGCCCATCCATGTAAATGCTGGTATAGTACTTCAGACCAGGTCACAATCACTTCCTTCCATATCCTCACCAGTTCACTGTTCATTGATTGGCATGCCATTTGATATACAGTAACCCTCTCTAATCCAAATTAATGGGAGAAGAGGTCATCTGGATTAACAGATAATCTGGGTTCATATAACAAAATAGAGCCATAAAAGACAAAAAAAAATAGAAAACAAATAAGTGGAAAATGTAATAATATAGATAGTGAGGATGAAAATAAATAAATATCATTGCAGCAGTTTCTTCATCTGTCAGAAGCTGAAATCCAGGATCTCCATCCAACTCAAGCCAATCTTGGATATTGACTCGAGTGGTTTCAGTCTCTGCAGCTGCCCTCAACACAGTCAGAAAGTCCTCTTCCTCCTAAATCCCTTGTTTCTTTTTATAGTATGCACTCAACTGTGAACAAAATTTTTCATATTTTAATCTGGATTAACTGACACCAGATTAGTGAGGGTTTGCTGTATTCGTTAAACTATTAAAAGCATCGTTAAATTAAACAATAATAACAGTGTGTACTCTGTAGAATTTTGATTTGAATCACAAACATTTCATCTGGAAACCTTGGGACATTTTGGCAATGCTAACATTTTGGAATTGTGGGACTCAACACACTGTTTCCTTGTTGGTAATTTATCATGACTTGACATTGTCTCATTGCAGCGAACATTGATGATGCTTGGTGTGATTGTAGTGGTTGCAGTGGTGAACTACTGGATGTTGATCCCAACAGTAGTGATGCTAGTTGTGTTCTATATACTCAGGATCTACTATGTTGCCACCTCTCGCAGTATCAAGAGGCTTGAGGGCATCAGTAAGTTAATGTTTTACATTATATTTTGCATCTGTTGTACAGCTCATTTTTCTGTGTAACGAGTTAGGTAATGTATGCATAGCCTAACAGTTCTGCCACATTTGCTCCATAAGACATGGAAAAAGTAATGATTCGGAGTAAAATAGGTTTCATTTTTCTCTACAACTTCTGTATGGAACATTTTCTTCTCCTATAAGTAATTCTAACAAGTTATGCTATGTGCAAAAATATGTGTAGCTCATCAAGATCTTCATGTAAAATGTTTGCTATTGATGTCATACGTAGGTGAGTCAGTAAGTAAGTTACAAATTGATGTAGGGTACTACATGTTTGAATGAGGCACTTGAGGCCATCGCCACTAGATGGCAGCATTAGTCTGATGGCAATTAATGACATTCAGCATGAGACAATCGATGTTTACAAAAGCAAAACAGCAGTTGCAAAATTGCGGTGCCTCTGAGTGAGTGTACAACCCTCGAGCAGCGCTTCGTTGTGCGATTTTTGTGGGCAAAAGGTATGGAATCAAAGAGTATTCATAAAGAAAGCTTCCCATCTATGGTGAGAAGTGCCTGTCATGTCAAGCTATTTACAATTGGGTGCAGAAGTTCTCTGAAGGGCAGACACGTATCGAAGATGAACCCCACGTCGGCCGGCCAACGGATATTGTCACAGAGGCAAATGTGCAATGGGTTGAAGACTTAATCCGAGCAGACAGCAGGGTAACTGTAGACACTATAGCCACTGCTATTGGTTGTTCACATGGCATGGCCTACCTCATAATGCATGACAGGTTAGGTTTTCACAAAGTCTGTGCATGCTGACCCCACAACACAAAATGCGAAGAATTTGTCTGGCATTACAGTATCTCAATCGCTACAACGATATGCTAGCCCGAATTGTCACAGGTGATGAGTCTTGGGTTCACCATTACCAGCCTGAGACAAAGCGTGCGTCAATGCAGTGGAAACATCCTGCGTCGCCTGCCAAAAAAGTAGTTTAAGGTGATACCATCCTCCAGGAAAGTGATGCTCACAGTCTTCTGGGATCACAAAGGCATACTGCTCACCAAATTCCAGCCTCAAGGACAAACCGTAAATGCTGACTTCTACTGTAACATCCTCAGGAAACTTTGTAAGGCCATTCAGCAGAAGTAACCAGGATTCCTCACCAAAGACGTGTTGCTCTTGTATGACAACACATGTCCCCATACTGCCAACAAGACAAATGAGACACTGTGAAATTTCAAGTGGGAAGTCCTCAAGCATCCTCCATATAGCCCTGACCTTGCTCCAAGCGACTTCCATTTGTTTGGCTCTCTTAAACATCATCTTTCGGCTGAACATTTTCCCGACGATAAAGCTGTAGGAAGGGAAGTCACCACCTGGTTCCGACAGCAGCCCAAAGAACTTTATGCTGCTGGTTTTCAGGGGCTTGTGAAACGACGGGACAAATGCCTCAATGTACAGGGAGATTATGTTGAGAAATAAAAGCATTTTTCAAATCAGTACTCTTTATTTGTTCAAGTTCTGTATCCATTTGTAACTTACGTATTGACTTACCCTTGTATTTCAACCAGAATTAGGATGTGTTGATATAATTTAGTGAAACAAACCAGTATCAAATTTCCTGAAAATCCAGGCACAACTTTTACAGTGAATGTACCAAAAATAACTACTACGTTTTTGCATTCAAACTCCTTGTTGCAAAGACAGGTACAGATTCAATACCACTCACTAATTCAGAGTAACGGGAGGAGAGGTCATCTGGATTAAGTGATAATCCAGATTAGCAAAGCAAATAGCCTTTAAAAAACATTAGAACACAAATAAATGGAAAATTTAATGATATGAGTAGTACAAAGACAAAAGCAACACCGTCCAGTGTAACGTCCAGTGTCCAGTTTTATCACTTGAAAACTCATCACCCTTACATGTTTCAATCCCTACGGATCATCCTCAGAGGGCATCAATACTTTTTCTGGAAACTACTATTACAGTAGGTGTTAATTATATACGTACACATATAATGTCTGAAATACACAGTGCACACAATGTTCAACTTTTCAGTCACAACAGCCTTCCTGGTATTAAAATTTTATAAAAACTTTGTTGTTTAAGATTAAAGTTTATAAACCATGCAGGTTCGTGTCAATTCTCCTGTTGTCTTTCTTGGAGGTGGCTGATCTTATGCAGCCTGTCTGTCTTGAGAAAGGAGGTTCTTAATATTGTCCGTGTTTGTTCGTGGCTTGCTGTCTTCTTTACACGGCAGTGTATTTTATGTTAATATTCAATACGACATGTTGCACCGATAAGGATCCATATCGATATTTCAATAACTATACGTATTCCTGCCTGATGATGGTCATGTATGACAGAAACATGTTGCATTAATAAAGATCTGATGTAACTGTACTGTAACTCATTTGCAGTGAGTGTCAGAAACTTTGTCCCAGCATATTGTATAGTACCAAGGTCTGCAGTTCATTGGGCTTCCCACAACGCCTGCTGCAATTCTTTATGGCTTGGCACTTTAGTATGGAGGCAGCTTTCCATACCTTTACATTATGGCTGGTATCCTATAATAAATGTATTGTGTTGTACCAGGACACAGAATTGGCTTGATTAAATGGCTAGTTTGTTACCCAGAGAATGTGGTATGAGATATCAGTTCTAATGTATTCCTGTTGTCTTTCTCAGGTAAAAGATAAAGTTGTCCCTGTGCTTAATTAAGCATTGTGCCATTGAGACATATGTTCCAGACATTTGTATACTGAATATTTTGAGGTTCAATAGGTTCTCTGTCATATGGAGCTGTTCCACAATGACTTCTTTCTGAGGGATTTCCCATGTAATATCTTCTAAGTGTCCCATATTTACTACATAGCCCTTGCATTTTGATGTGAAGGTTCTTTAAGAATATAGTTGTTTCATGTTTTAACAAGATTTTGTAAACCCGTAGTACTGTAATATTTTCTACGTAATAGCATTCAAGTGTTCAAGAGTTTCCATGCTTGTGGCTGCTTCAAAATTCATTTTCTAACTTGTTTTCAGCTCGGAGTCCCGTTTTCTCCCATCTCAGTGCATCACTGCAGGGTCTCACCACAATACGAATTTTTGGTGCACAGGGCCTGCTGGAGAAGGAGTTTGACAGACTTCAGGTGAGTTTAACAAAAGTATTGCTCTCTTCGTATCATTTAACATGTTTTTCTTTCTTAAGGAAGAAAAATGCGTCTAGGCGAAACTCATCCACCAACAGATGAATACTACACATGATTAGCAAGAAAGGGGGCCAAGACCAACAACAGTACAGCTCACCAGGGAACAGTAGGAATGAACACAATTTTGTCAGCCTCTGAGTGGATCAGAGCTTAGACTTCAGCAGTCAACTTTAATTCCAATTAGTGTTTCAAATTCAGCGGAAGAAAATCTCACATATATACTGTAACGTGTTTGGAATCCAGAAGTCACTTCTATGGAAACGCTAGAACAGACCGTTGCCTAGGAAGTAACAATAGCGATACTGTAATCCCAACGGTGAGCCATTGTATCGAGAACATCGAATCTCCACGGTTATGACGAATACACGGAGCATTCCCACAGAGACAATGCAATAACAGTGGGTCGTTGCATAGGAATTGCAGAATCAACGAAGCAGCGTTTCCCCGATGATAGACAACAGAAGGTTTAAGGCACAGCAACCGCCGAGGTTATAAAAGCCAAGCTTTGACAAGAGACAGTCTTGGGATAGTTACTGCCGAATATAAGCAGTCTGGAATCAACCGCCGAAGAAGTCAGTCTTCAGGAAGCTGCCACTGAAGATAGTTGGAGCCACAGAAGTATTGGCCGAGATATTGGTTAAGCAGTAATTGTAATACTGCAAGTGCTAATAGTTGCAAAGTGTGTAAGTGTGAGTGTCCAATAAAGATTCGCTGAATCCGAGACCCATGTATATTTATTTGTCGCGTGACATACCCAACACGTGACAATACTAATAGTGTACCAACTCATGCACAATATCAAGAAGTGTCTGATGATGACCACAGTGTTGACCAAAACATGTCATGTTAACAGTGAGCATAAGTGAGAGTTCAAGTGAGAAGCACACAGCCCTAGACAGTTAACTGGAAGTTGCCCGAAGAGAGGGGGACTGTAATTATGATACAGTTATAAATATATTGCAGCAGGGTGCTGAGATATAAAATGAAAAGAAAAAGTCATAAAGTCTACTTTCCTGTCCTACAAGTCTTGTGTTGTTATTTACCTGTTAGTTAACTGAGGCTGTGTAACACCACATGGTAAGTTAGTTATGAATAATGAATTGTGATGGTGGAAGTGGTTGTGGCCAGTTTAAAGATACTGTTCTGACATTTGCCTGGAGGGACAGAAATACCATAGGATAGTTAGTGTCCTGACTGGAAAGTACTTCACACCTCCTGAATACAAGTCAGCAATACAATATAATACAATTTGGCTCTGAGATAGCCTGCCTTGATAGTGAGTGGAAAGATGCAGAGGAAAATGAAACACATTTTATGCCCAATGTACGTTCTCCATAAGCCTCACAGTTCGTGAGACAGTTACACATACAAGATGTTACATGTACATATTTGAGCCTTTATAGTCAGCAACTGAGAATGGCTTCCCAAACACAATTGCCATTAAGCAAAGAACCAAAGACAGTCTACACTACATTGAAATGAGACTGTTTCATTCTTTTAACATGCTGCTCCATTGAAATGGGATTTTGAATCATGTATGAAACAGTGTGTGGTTTTTGTGTTTACTTTTTCTGTGTTTTTGTGTGTGTATTTTTACAGTAACCAGTGAAGCCTTGCACTGATTGTTTTTTAATTCTGTGTCCAGTTTTGACTTCTTACCAATTTGAGCGGTGTCACCATGTAACAGTGTATCATTGTGTATGAATTAATGTTTACTTTTTATAAGGGAAGAATTCACTGCAGTTTTAATTGTTTTATTATTAATTTGTGAATTAATTTTTTCTTCTGCCCATGCTCGTTCTGTGTGCAGTTCTGTGTGCTCTTACAGTCTGTTTTGCTTTCAGGATGTCCACTCGACTTCTCATTACCTGTTCCTTGCAGCAAATCGAGCTTTTGGCCTGTGGCTGGACAGTATCTGTGTGGTATATATTGCTCTTGTTACCTTCGGCTTCCTCGTATTGAGTGGAGGTATGTAGGCTGCTGTAGTGGGATGTTCGAAATCTAAACTTCCAAATGTTGGAGCTGCAGAAATATCTCAGGGTCATCTGTTTGCTAGGCAAACGAAACACAAATGCCCACCAGCCACAAGAGTTGAAGTACTGCTGAGAACCATGTTGCTTAAGTGGTTGCTGCAAAGCTATACAGGGCATCCCAGAAATCAGTACAGAAAAATGGAGGATGAGTACTGTGGCCCAAAACATTGAAAATAGTTTATATAAACATGGGTCTGGAAATGTTTTGGTAATGAACCGGAGCCATGTGAAGGTGTTCTGGCAACACAGTGATCAGGACTGTGGTTACAGCAGTAACATGTGCTAGGTTCACTTTTGAAGGAAACTGCAGTTCAGACTGGACAGTGTGAATGACTACTTATCCCTTGTCACTGCTGCCTTCCCCATTCAACAGCAAAACATACAGTTGTCATGCTAACAGTGATAGCGAGTTGACCATGTACATGAACATGTGACATCAGGCTGTCCCCCCCCCAGTGAAGTAGTGTCCTTTTGGTGTCATACTTGCTTTATAAGTCTCAGCTTAAAATGGACAGCTGCACATATAGAAATTCACCGAAATGCTCTTAACTCTCTTCTAAGTCCAGAGTAATTGTGCAGCAGTTGTAAGGCTGTATGCAGATAGGCATCTTTAGCATTGAGTTCTGGATGCAGACATATTTTATGCCACTGATTGTTTATCAGGGAGACTGGTACTGTTTGTCCTTCCACTGTGGAAGTCAGAGAAGTGTGTGTGATCATTTGATTCTAAAGAATACATACTGAGATGTTTAGATGAAAATCCCTGTACCAGCATTCATCAAACACAAGCTGCCAAATGCACATGTGAGAGTGGCGGGGTCTCCACACACAATTGCTGTATGTGTACCATTTATAATTGGGACAAGCTCAGAGTCTGCTGGATTTTCACCCATGCTACAAATTTTGCCATTGTTATTTTGACAATGTGAAGAAGAGCGCTTCTGTAGCTGCCATGAACTCTTTGCTGACAAAGCAGGCTTCAGAAGGAACTGCACACTACATTCCCATAACAGGCACATTTGGAGTGACATTAACCGACACAGCAATTCAGTCCAGATAACAACTGCAGTTCTCAATTAACGTCTTAGGCTGGTATTGTGGGGACTGTTTGCAGGCCCGTGGTTTTGTCTCATATGTTCATTGGAGCTGCATAATAATATTTCTGGGGCCCACTTTGCCAGAGTTACTGGATACTGCTCCACAGGATAGCCAACAGAATCATGCATGATGGTGCCTCAGCCCATTTGAGTCACACCACCAAAAGTTGCCTTGAGGTTGCCCACACTGCGCAATGGATAGAGAGGCAGGCACCCAAATGTTGTCCAAGTCATTCTCCAAATCTGAATCCCCTTAATTCTTTCCTTTGGGGCCATCACACTTTGATGGTGGATACTGCACAGGAACGCTGCAAGGTGTTCAGAATGGTCCTACTTCAGTCCGCAACACACCTGGCATTTTCCAGCGCATCTTGTCTGTCCATGCATCAACAGGCCAGAGCTTGTATAGCAATGCAAGGCCAACATTTTGAGCATCTGCTGTAAGCCTAACAATTGTTGCTTCCCATCAGTGGAATGTAAATGTAATATTTAGTAAGTTGCTGGATTATTTCTCAAGCAGAACTCTTGCTGTTGGAAATGTTTGTCTGACAAATGTTCAGCCTTAGGATCCCACAGTTTCAGGGAACACCATGACAACTTTGAGTTTTGTTGTTGAATAGGGAAGGCGGTAGTGATAAAGGAGTAGCAGTCATTCACGTCATTCCCCCTAAACTCCAGTTGCCTTCAAAAGTGTCCCTAGCATATGTTACTTTTGTAACCACACTTCTAATCCTGCTGCTGCTGAACACCTCTGAATGGCTCTAGTTAGTTACTAAATCATTTCCAGACCCATGTTTATATTCAGTATTTTCACTGTTTCAGGACAGAGCACCCACTCTCCAGTTTTCCAGGTTACTTCATAAGGAGCGAGCCATTGTTCTGGTTCAAGCCTGCCTACCTTGGTGCAGCAGGGGACTAAGACAAATATGGTGTTAGTGGCAAGCAAGAGAATAGAAACAAAGGGCAGTCAAACAGCTGACCACAAACCCCTGCAAATGCTTGTAGACATTTCCTAGTGAGAGGAACTAGTGCCAAATAAATACATTTCCATTGCTTGTAGCCTAGTTGGTTGAGGCACTAGGCTACAAGGCGGAAGGTTGCGGGTTCAAGTCCCGATGAGGTCATAGGATTTTTTCCAATTGACCTATTCCTTCCAGCCACACTATGGCCCTGGGGTCGACTCAGCCTCTAACAGAAATGAGTACCAGGAGTATTCTTGGGGGTAAAGAGCGGCCAGCACGTAGGGCTGACAACCTTGCCACCATGTATGACCCGATTGTCTAGAGATAATGTGGGACCCTCAACATCTCACAACCCTATGGACCTTCATGGCCTGGTACAGGGATAGCTTTACTTTACTTTACTTTACTTTACTTTACTTTACTTGCTTACAGTGTAGTCATTTTTGTACAGGGTGGGGCACAGAAACTTCCTTTTTTTGAAGGCGCATAAAAGAAAAATTATTGCTGATAGAATTTATGTTTAGCTAATGAAAGAACATACTTCAGAGTTTGAAACAAAATATCTTGAAGGTGGTGGCCACCGTTCTCTATGCACTGATGCAACCGTTTTCTGAAGTTCCCCTCTGCACGTTCCAACACGTGCACCAGAATTTGGGCTACTTCCTGCCGAATAACATTCTTTAGCTGAAGCAGGTTTGTGAGGCGATGTTTAAAAACCTCTGCCTTGAGGTATCCCCCTAAAAAAATCACAGGGCGTTACATCAAGTGAGTGCACTGCCCACAGGATGTCACCTCGAAGCGAGATGAGCCGTCTGGGCTGACAGCCTTACCACTATCTGTGAGCCGATTGTCTAGATAGTGTGGGACCCTCAACGTCTCACGACCGTATGGGCCTTCATGGCCTGGTACAGGGATAGCTTTACGTACTATATAGCAGCAGATGGTAATTATAGGTAATAATGGATCAGAAAGGATTTGGAGGGAAGTGATTGTAGGCTTATTGTTCAAGGTACTGCTATGTGGAGAAACTGTGGAAACCACAAAATTCTCTGTCAGGATAGTCAGTGCACTGGCCGAGATCTGAACTGAGCACCTCTGAGATGCGAGTCAAGAGCGTTACTAGCAGACCACCCTACTTGTTTGTTCCCTGCTGTTGCATTGCACCACAAGTGTGGAGTCTGTGCTTTCAGTGCAGATGAATGATCTATGTATGCTTGCATTTCAGTGCAGTACGGTGGCGATGTGGGACTCGCCATAACACAGGCTACTGGCCTTACAGGAATGCTGCAGTGGGGCATACGTCAGATGGCAGAGATGGAGAACCAGATGACTTCAGTGGAACGTGTCTTAGAATACACGGCTGTTGAGAGTGAGCCCCCACTGGACAGTGCTCCTGGTAAGATGCATTGTTTGGATAATAACTCGCACCATGTGTCACTGAATGGTGAGATGGTAGTGAATAATGACTTGGAAAGTATGTGGAAGGAAGCTACCATGCCCTGATTTACAGTAGTATTCTGGCATTTACCTGGAGAGAGTGAGGAAAGCCATGAAAAACCTCAGTCAGGATAGCTAATCTTGTTGCTGAAATTTGACTCTGGGACCTCCCAGATGCAAACGAGGAGCGCTGCTCACTCGGCTGTTCAGTGTGTTCTGTGTAGCCTGTGATGGATACCATATTAATTTTTTTAACACTGTCCATCTGACAAAATGGAGGTCAGTTCCATTGCTTTCATTTATATAGGTTTATTAACAACTCAGACAAGTCATGCAGTTTACTATATGCACCATCTGCTTTAACATTAAGATCTCTGCATATTACCCTCAAAATTTATTTCTGTTCTCAGAATGAACCGTGATTATTTGCCTGAATAGCATTAAGTGGGTAGTCTTTGTAATGGAGACTCTTGTGTTTTCTATGAGGAAAGAACTGAGTTTGTAAAGATTGTTCAAGCAAACTTCAGTCTTCAAAACATTAATACATAAGGAATTGCTTCCTATCCTTATTTTTCCTGAAGATTTCTCACTTAGTGATTTAGTTTACTTCTCGCATGAGGAATGTTTCGATATGGCTCCAAATTATGGATTACAGTTTCATGTGAAGATCTTGTTCTGCAGTAATTTATTTCTTCATTACAGATAAAAAGCCAGCCAAAGATTGGCCAGCAAAGGGTACAGTAGTTTTTGATAGAGTTTTTCTTTCATACTCAAAGAATGAGTCACCTGTACTGAGGAATGTTACCTTCTCCATCAAGACAGCAGAAAAGGTAAGAGAACAATATGACATGGTTAACCCTTTTGGTTCTGGTCTATAAAGACTTCATATATGTGTAAGATGACCTGCATTTATTTTCACTGATTGAAGGTGATAGTCAAGCAGGTAGCACCTCTGCTTCATATCTGGGAGATCCCAGATCGGATCTTGACCCAGAGACTGAGTATCATGACTTTGGGCTTTACATATTAATAATGTTACTATTTGTCACTGAATTGTCTGTTGACAGTAAAAAATTAGTAAAGCTATCCGTATAACAGGCTACTAAGATCTGTAGGGTTGTGAGACATTGAGGCTCCCACATTTTATAGACAGTCAGCTCACAGATGGCAGTGAGATTGTCAGCCTTACATGCTGGCTGCCCTTTACCCCCCAGAAGATTCCTGGTACTCATTTCTGTCAGAGGCCCAGTCGATCCCAAGGCTGTATTGAGGCTTGAAGGAATAGGTGAATTGAAAAAATCCAGTTCATTGGGAATCGAACCTGAGATCTTCCAGCTTGTAGCATAATGCCTCAATCAACTATATTACCATGTGGCCCCCTGTCTACTGACAGTGTCATTAAATAAACCATAAATAGATAAACAGATTTTTTAATTAATACACATCAAGGTAAAATGGTTTCTGTGATGCTATGTAATGTTCATGTATGGTATATTTATATTTCTTACCACCACTGGCACTGTTTTGCAGCTCTGCCACCAGGCAGTATTTACACACACGAATCCAGAATTGTGGTGTTGACAGCATAGAGTCTAGTTAATGCCAGAACATGAGCAAGTTACATTTACTCTCAGTGTGATAAGTTTTTACGTCATTTGAAATAGATGACCCACACTGAAGTGGAGATGATGTAGGAGGAAGAAGAAGCAGATTTTAAACCTGTTAAGTCTGTAGAGTGATCTTAAGGTACTTCCTTGTCCTCTGTTGCAGTTTCTGTTCTCTCTCCATTTGCTGCTCCCATGTTTTCTGCTTCTATTTCACATTTTTTTAGGTAGGGGTTGTGGGGCGCACGGGAGCAGGCAAGTCCTCTCTCATTGTGGCACTGTTCCGCCTGGTTGATCCATCTTCTGGCTGTATTCACATTGATGGAGTGAACATCATTGCAATAGGTCTCCATGACCTGCGCTCCAAGATCTCCATCATCCCACAGGAGCCTGTGCTGTTCTCTGGCTCACTGAGAGAGAACCTGGACCCATTCAGCGAGTACTCAGATTCTGCATTGTGGGCTGCGTTAGCCGAGGTGGAGCTGAAGCAGGTTGTAGATGAGCTGCCCGCTGGACTGAGCCACAAAGTGTCAGAGGGTGGTTCCAACTTCAGTGTGGGACAGCGCCAGCTCCTGTGTCTGGCCCGCGCCATCATCAGGAATAACAAGATCCTGGTGCTGGATGAGGCCACGGCCAATGTGGACCCACAGTGAGTACAAGTACAGTTCAGTCTGTGACCTGCTATAATGATATTCCTGTAGGACTACTTATTGGCATAATTTCAGATTTACTCATATATTGTTTCCCTTGGTTCCTCCAGTACAGTTCAAAAGCAGTTCAATTTTTTGCAGTGTGTGCTGTGGCATTAACTTGCATAAAACAGGCACGCAGGCCCAACTGTTCTCTGCGTGAGCTGTACTTTTTGCCAGTCCACACTGGAGAGCTAAAAGGCATAGTAGCTTCTTCAGGCTTGCTTCTAATTGAGCACCAATGTCATCAGGTTTTTCTTCAGTCAGTACATGTTTGTTTAAAAATTTCTTTTTATCCAGCACCAATCCCATAGAACGTAATTCTGTGACTGTTTTGCAAATTGTTGCCTTAGAGAGCACTGTACTCTAAGGAGGATACTTCTGTGAAGCTTTCTATGACATTTTCTCCACAGAGAATGGCATGCGGAGATATCATACATGGTGCTATCCAAAAGTTCCCGAAATATATTAATAAAAACTATTACATCTTACTTAGATTTTATTCTGCACCATCACCTTCAAAGTAGGCCCCTTGGGAGCACATACACCGATCCCAGCATTTCTGCCACTTTAGAAATGCATCTTTGTTAGGGTGATTAGTACTGTCTGCGTTTCCATTTGAATTTTCTCAACTGTATCAAATCTTTGCCCCTTCAACTTGATTTTCATCTTGGGGAAGAGAAAGAAGTCACATGGAGCTAAGTCTGGCGAGTACGGTGGGTGGGGAACAACTGCCATTTTGTTTTTAGCCAAAAATTCCTGCACAATGTAAGCCGTATGCAGTCGTGTGTTGTCATGGTGGAGTGCGTAGTCATTCATGCGCCACTTCTCTGGACTTTTCTCCTCATGTTCTCCCTCAAACGCCTTAGAACATCACAATAGAACCCTTTATTGACTGTCTGACCAGGAGGGACGAACTCCTTATGAACAATCCCGTCAATATCAAATCAACATGGACTTAATGTTGCTCTTGACTTGTAGAGCTTTTTTGGGCCAAGGTGAAGAAGGACTCTTCTATTGCAATGATTGCTGCTTACTTTAGGGTCATAGCCACAAACCCAACTTTCATCACCAGTGACAACCCTCGAAAGAAATTTTGGATCCTCTTGAAGCTGTTGTTGAAGTTCCGTGCAGACTTCCAAGCAATGCTGCTTCTGTTCATTTTGCAGCAGTCACGGCACAAACTTCGCCGCAATCCTCCACATGTTCAGTTCCTCTGACAAAATTCGTTGACATGTACCATAACTTAGTCCCAAGGTGTTACAGAGGTGTTGGAGGGTCAGTCTACGATCTTGCAGAATCAGATCCCTAACTTTCGCGACATTTTCTGGTGTGGTGCCAGTTGACAGCCATCCCGAACGATCGTCGTCATCAATCGATGTTCGGCCATTTTTTAAATGCTTATACTAGTCATAAGTTTCCTAAACTGTTGTCACCAAAGGCTTGCTTCAACATTTGGTGCCTTTCTGCAGCGGTTTTCCCAAGTTTAAACCAAAACTTTATACAGACACGCTGCTCTCTCAGGTCAGCCATCGCAAAACCACAAACTCACAGAAACACAACAATGGTAATACGTTCACCAACAATGAACCCAACCACTCAACTCGACGCCACTTGCCACACTGATTCAAGAAGGGTGTGTGGGAAGACACCTAGTGGTATTTCGATGTACTCATAACCATTCACGCACAAAATTAAAATTTTGGGAACTTTTCGATAGCACCACATATATGAATAATTTCTGCTCAGCACTCAACTCTATTTCTGAACACTGTATTTCACACCACTGGCAGCTGTACTTGTACGTATTTGAAGGACAGCTAAGCAACTAGACACACAGCACTATCAACATAAGCCAGCAAGCATCAAATGACCAACCAATACTTCCGCAGCTAGCAGTGGCTAGGCATGGAAGAACAGATTTCTAGCTGGATAATCTGCCCACTCTGTGGAAGAGTAAACTGAGGATGGAAAAAGTGGCACAGACAAAGGAAAGCAGGGAATGGCACCAGGTGCCTGAGCAAACCAGCAATGGAGTTTTTGAGGGCAGAATGTTGATGGGGTGAGAGTAGAGAAGACAGAAAGAATAAACTAAAATTCTGGAATAGGGTTAGGAAGGAAGTTATAACAGGGAAAATGTCAGGGCCTAAAGGCCTGGATGAAGAATGAAATCATGGTAAATCCCTTAAGGGAGGCTTGCCGCATTCTCACAGGCATGACATGTTGAGGCAGAGACCAGGCTTCCTGCTCATGTTGTTGGAATGGAGCTCAATCTCGGTCACCTCTATGCTCATATATAGTCAGTATATTAAATCTTGCATACTTATAGTTTCCCAGCTTCTGTAGTTGGTATATCATTCTTACATGAACCATGGCGCAAACATTATTTACTCATAAGAGAAAACATTTTTTATTTATTTAATGTCTGATAATGATGTACCTTATTGTAGAACTGATGATCTGATCCAGTCAACACTTCGTCACAGATTCGTTGATTGCACAGTGCTGACAATTGCCCATCGTCTGCACACAGTCATTGACAGCAATCGTATTCTTGTTTTGGATGCCGGATCTGTCATGGTGAGTTAAACTTCAGCATCATTTAAACTGGAAACCAATTACATACACAGGCTGTTCAGTATCACACTTGTGTTCATTGCTTCTACATAGATGTTCAGAGCAACCGGGATTAGTAGACAGGCAGTCTTAATCACCAGACAAGTCAAGGTGTTTGTCCCAGTGTTTGCACTTGCTGGTTCACCTCAGTTTTCTTTCCTCCATCATCATATCAGGAGGATGCTTCTTCAGTGATCTGTAGGAATGAAAATCACGCCACAAAATATCCAGGCTGAATGGTAGAGTGCCCAGACACTGCCAGCAGTGTGTGGGGCCTGAGACAATTTAGTGGTTGGAAGAACAAAGTCTTGACACTGGGTGCAGAGAAAGAGAAAAGGTGCAGTGATGGTGGTGGGGGGAGGGAGATGTTCAGAAGTTAATTCATGCTAGCATTGCCCCATTATGAGCATTATGAATGAAGTAGTTTGCTTGCTGCTGTGCACATAAGCAGCAGTTAATCTGCATGGAGGGTGAATGCCATGGAAAACTCCCAAAGTTTCAGACTGAGAAATCAATGTTTAAATTGAGATTAGCATTTTTCTCAGCTCAAGCTAAAAAATTTGAGACTTACAGATGTCTGCTTAATGTAGTTGTGGGGTGTAAAGGGGTAGTCCTCCAGACTGGGGTCTGGGCATGAGGCTAACAGCTCCTCCTTTGTTACAAAATGTCACAAAGACCTTCACACTTTTACCAATGAAGGGCTCTTGTGAACATGGTAATGAGCCTTTGGGTGCCATAAAATGTTGGGAAATTCTGGAGTAGCTGCACAACTGGCGGCTTCTGAAGAAGGACTCAGCTCCATGGAGTTGGTTGGTTGGCTTGGGCATTGGCCTTGGCATAATATAAAGTAAGAAAGTAACATATTGTAATGCAGTATGGAGATGCACTATCGAATGCTAAAAAGTAAAAAAGTAAAGCTATCCCTGTAACAGGCCGTGAAGGCCCATAGGGTTGTGAGACGTTGAGGGTCCTGCATTATCTAGACAATCGGCTCAAAGATGGCGGTAAGGTTGTCAGCCTTACGCGCCGGCCACGCTTTACTCCCCAGGAAAATTATTTAATTAATTCCTGGTACTCATTTCTGTTACAGACTGAGTCGACCCCAGGGCCATAGTGCGGCTTATTTTGAAAATTCATCAATTGCAGATGTAGAGATAAAACAAACTAAAAGCTGTTATAAGAATGTCGCAGAATCTCCAGTTTGTTCATTGTGTTTTAACTTGCAGGAATTTGACCATCCACATGTGCTCCTGAAGAATGAGAATGGCTGCCTGTACCAGATGGTGCAGCAGACTGGACATTCCATGGCAGAGTCATTATTTAGAGCTGCACAGACGGTATGTGAGAAAGTGCTTAAGAAGTTTCAATGCTAAAAAATATCATTAAGTAGCCTAAAGATTATATAAAATAAGCAGGCCACTTCCTGACACTCTTTGAGTTTTGGCCCTTATATACACACACACACACACCATCAAGCAAGCTGCAAATTCGTAACAGAGTTACAGCCCTGCTGTTATTAGAGAAATTTCTTCATTTCATTCCTCATATCTTGAGACTGTTAGAATTTTTCTTGAAGAATGCCATCTTCTGGGAAGTGACGCTGTATAGATCTTGTGTGACGCTGAAGATGGAGGCGGTATGTTCCTCTGAAACATCAGGGTCACACAAGCTCTACATGGCACCACATCCCAGAAGACATTCTTCATAGTCCCCACCATGAAAACCTCAAATCTTATATGGAATTTTTCTTCTTTTGCAGAATTTTGAAAGCTTGTCAAAGAAGACTTAGAAGTTGCTGGAGAGAGAAATTATATAATCTGCCCAAACAATGCAGTATTGTTATTCAAACTTGGTGGCTAGTAATAACCACACCAATGGAGAATTTCTGAGAATTGAACCAAATGTACTCAGACTGCAAGTTGCTAGGTGTCTTGGATATCCGTCCATCCTCAAGACCAGAGATCCCAGGATCTTCAGATGGTCATTAAAGTTTACTGCCTGTTGATACTTCTTATATATATATATGACAGATTTATAGTCACACTGCTGGTGTATGTCAGACTTAGCAATAAATATTTATTGAACATATTTCCAGCACTTCAGTAGAAGTTGAAAAAAAATATAAAGTTATTATCCCTGTAACAGGACGTGGAGGCCTTAGGGTTGTGAGATGTTGATGCTCACAGATGGCAGTGAGGTTGTGAGCCTTACGTCCCAGCCACCCTTTACCCCCAGGAAAAATCCTGATACCTGTTTCTGTTAGAGGCTGAGTTGATCCCGGGGTGATAGTTTGGCTGGAAGGAATATGTCAATTGAAAAATCTAATGGCCTCATCAGGAATCGAAACCACGACCTTCTGGCTTTTAGCATAGTGTAAAGGTAAGAAGGTAAAGCTATCCCTGTAACAGGCTGTGGAGACCCATGGGGCTGTGAGACATCGAGGCTGCCACATTTTCTAGACAATCAGCTCACAGATGGTGGTGAGGTTGTCAGCCTTACACACCCCCAGAAAGATTCCTGGTGCTCGTTTTTCTTAAGAGGCTGAGTCGGCCCCAGGGCCATTGTGCAACCGGAAGGATTAGGTTTATTGAAAAATCCAATGACCTCATCAGGAATCAACCCTACGTCCTTCCTGGTTAAAAGCAGCGAAATTAATTTGAGGTTATCACATTGGCGATTTTTAAGATTGTGGTCTCCTGGGTTGAGGCATCACATGGTTTTGCGATTAGCTACCAATATTTCGGAAAGAACACGCTGCCTCCATCTTCAGGGTTGAAATGTTTAGTTGTAACATTAAGCTTGGTTATGCAGGAAGGTTAAAAGGGGGTGATCATGTGACTCACGCAGAGGAGGTAAAGAAAGGAACTTGGCCTGTAACAACAGAATTTCCCCATTCTCCGTTCAAATTTCCTTCTGTGAAAAAGAATTCTGATGGCTCTGAAAATGGCAGTTTTGTCCATTTTCACACGACTACTGTCCTGAAAGAACAGCAGAGTGGAGGAAACATACATTCTCTCACTGTTCCACTTGCCACCTGTGATAATAAACCAGTGTGCCCCTTATAAGGGCAGCTTTTACTTCATTTTTTTCCCCTCTGGCTTTATCAGACTGGGTTCTTCTCTTGCCCCCTCTCCTTGGGTCCCTATATGAGTATACCGAAGCCAATTCCTCACACTACATACTTCAACCCTGAAGATGGATGCATGTTCCTCTCATATGTTGATATCTGCCTGGTGTCACAACCCATAAGATCACACTTTTAACAGAATTAGACATTACTATACAATCCGTTAATTTGGCAGGCAATATTTTGGGTACATATCTCTTCCTATGAGGCTAGATTCTCTCCTTACAAGAACAATAATATTTCATGCAATGCCAGTTAATTGGACCTACATATTTTGGCTTCTTCCTGAAGCGAAGCTGGTTGCCTTCTTCAGAGAGGTCAGAGGTCTGAACCTTGATGAAATCTGGGTACAGGTTTTCTTGTTTGCAAATGAAACCTAACCACTGGTGATGGTCATAATACCAAAGCCTACAATAAACTTAACTATCATATCAGTGACAGCTTCCTCCATAATTAAGATACAAATGCTGAATTTAAAAGATAAGATGTTATGCTCCCTCTGCTGCCCATCATTGTAACAGCAATACTGTCAGCACTTCCAAGTTGTTTCTGCTTGTATTTCTCTCTATGCATGTTCACTTGTTTGTTATTGTTGCTGTTGTTTTGTTTAATTCTGTTGTAACTTTCTGTTAACCTCTGCACTGCTGTCGGCATGAGGTTGAGTAAATTGCTGTGAATACAGTATGGGTCTCATTATGTAGAATTTGAGAAGCTCACAGTGGTAGTTATGAAGAGTTACAGTTTGTGGGATATAATGCCATGTAGTCCATTGAGATTCAACCAACGTTTTGGCAGAGCATGCAACATGGTATTTCATGTTCTGCTGATTTCATGGACTCTGTTGAGTCCTGAGGTGGTCACCCCTTCACTGAGTTAACTTCACAAGTACCTAGTGTCAAAATTTGACTTACAAAAATTGTATTTTCTAACAGAATGTGATATTTTATCTGAACTACATGGTCATAAACATGTGAACACAACTTCTCCCTGACATTTGAAGTTCCTAAAAATTTTTGCATGTATTATTTACTTGTGAGTTTTTTAGTGCTTGTACTTGACACTTCTGGGACTAATATGGAAGCCAGCAGCCATCCTGCCATGAAGGAAATACAGAGAAGTTTCTGGTGTGAAGGACACCCATCACTAGCGTACCCCTTTTCTGCAAATGAGACTTTTGAAGCAGAAACATGGTGACAGTGGAAGTTTCATCAGATCTGCCATGAGATTAGCATGAAAACTGAGGAGTCCCCACTATTCCAGCTGTTAACATTACTTAGCAGCGCAGATGTCTACAGAATCCTTTTCCTTATTCCATGTCAACATGTAGCACTGCTTAAATGGAGTGCACCCACAGTGCAATGTCACCATATATGTTTAATGATGTTATGTGAGACTAAAGACAGACTTCATGGCTATGTCCTTTTTGTTTTGTTTTTTTGCAAATGGGAAAGCCTCATTCTCAAAGATAGACATGTACAGACACTGTGATCATGGCTGTCAGTCACACTGGCATGTGCAAATGTTTTCTCTCACCAGTGTTCAGACCAGCCCTGGAACACACCCAGCCCCCTATGCTATCGGTACTGGGGCATGAAGCTGACTACTCACCTCCACCTAGTGCCAAGGCTAAGAATGCGAGGAGCTATACAGCTATAACTCCATTGCCCCATACATCCTCAAGGGGTGCTGGTTAATTGATTAAGCACACCTTTTTTAGTGCTTTTCTGATCGACAGTAGTGTCTGTCACTTCTTGTCCCCTTCACTTTGACTTCCTCTAGGGCCTATAGATGGAAATTTATCTGGATTGGACTATACTACAAAGAGTTTTCTGGTAGGAGCAACCATGTAACGAATTCAGGCTGATGGTAGGGGCATCCGACTTCACACTCTGCATGTGAGCACTTGGCGAAGGAAAAGAAGTTTGCTGTGTTACTGGTGCTCTTGTTGTAGGAGGGACATACCGCGACAAAGAAGTACAAGGTGTATTGGAAAGTTCCCAGACTAGGTCAAAAAAAGAAATGCTGGCTTAACTTACTCAATTTTGGATGCCATTTCCTTCAAAATAATCTCCTTGGGAATGTATACAGCGATCCCATCGTTTTTTTCTCCCCCGTTTCAAAAGCCCCGTGGAAGTCACTTTCCTCAATGCCGTTGAGTACCGCTTGTGATTCCCTTTGGATGTCAGATTCTGTTTCAAAACATCGTCCCTTCACTTTCATTTTCAATTTGGGAAACAAAGTGAAATCACGGGGGGCTAAGTGCTGCAAGTAGGGAGGATGAGAACTGCTAACCAAGTTGTTAGTCACAAGCTCTGTTGTTTTCGGGGATGTGTGGGCAAGCGTGTTATGATGAAGAAGCAATGCAGCACGTGTTCAGATTTTCTGTTAACAACTTCTGGCAAAATCCATAACTGATCCCAGTGGTGTCTGCGAGTTCGTGGATTGTTCGGTGACGGTCTTCGTGGATGAGTTCTAGAATTTTTTTCGACATTTTCTGTGGTTTTGCTGGTGCTTGGTCGCCCTGAACGTTTGTCATCAACTGACACTTGACCGGCCTTGAAACGTGAATGCTATTCAAAAACCGCTCTCTGGCTTAACGAATGTTCTCCAAAAGCCTCACGAAGCATTTCAAGGGTTTCGGTAGCGGATTCGCCAAGTTTCACGCAAAACTTGATGCAGACAGGTTGCTCGATTTTGCCATCCATCGCAGACAAAACGAAACACGAAGTCACAAAACAGTGCGTGTTCACAACACGGTGTCACGTGGCAGACTGATGCAATATGCTTGCGGAAGTGTGATCTTTGCCTCCCCTCTCTTCTTTCATCGATGCAGTTACAATAACAGTCCGGGAACTTTCCGATACAACCTCGTAAGTTGTTTCGTTTTGAGGTTATTTTAAGATTTAAAGAGTTACATCTTCTGGGACATAACGCCCTATAACCCTTTGAAATGCAACCAATGTACCGAAAGGATATGTCGCTTTCAACGGACTACCCAGAGTTATATACCAGACGAGGCCGCACCATAGCTCAAGCGGTTAGTCGCTGGCTTCCCACCGCGGCCGCCCGGGTTCGAGCCCGGGTCTGTTCAAGTGGGATTTGTGGTGGAAAAAGTGGCGCTGGGGCAGGTTTTTTCCGATTACTTTGGTTTCCCCTGTCAATCTTCATTTCACCAAATTCTCCATCCTCATAATCACCCGGGGCAGATACAATAGCCCAAAGAGTGGCCGCCGTGCCGAGTGGGCCCAAAATGCGAATAATACATACCAGAAGACTCTTCGTAACCACCGCTGTGAAAACAACAAATCCTAAACATTTTAGTATCTGAATTTTTAATCTGTTTGGCAGTGAAGTCGCCTAAGTTATAAATCCAGCCGCCGGAAGACTACAGCTCAGCTGTGAAGAGCCGATAGTTTAGCAAACTATACGGTCTTCTGTTCTTGCGAACTTCGACAGTACGACGCGGTTGAGTGGGGTTGCATTCCTGAAGCTCAGCACAGCGGTCCTGACGTCATGTTCACTTCCTCCAAACAGCGGGATAGTAACTTCAATGGGATGCCGACAGCTTTCTCCCGCGCGATGCTCTCTGTGCATTCATTCATCAGTAGTTCAACAGCCCTTTGTCGAGCCCTGGCCGCTTTTTCAGTTTCGTAATCCTATAAATAGTCGGTAGGGCACTTTGGATGGGGGATCAGCCCGTCGCAGTGCTGCTACCTACATACAGGACAACACAAACAGAATAAACGCACACAGAAATCCATGACTCGAGTGGGATTCGAACCTATGACCCCAGTGTTGGGGCGGTTGAAGATAGTTCATGCCTTGGACCGCGCGGCCACTGTGATCGGCATTCACTAATCATAAGTTTCTACAATTCGACTCCACGTACTGTGAGCTATCAACAGCGTCGTTAAATAAGCAATAAACTTTAAGAGTACAACCTTCTGGGTGACGCCGTTTA